GCTGCTCTCCAGCAGGTCAGCCCCAACCTGTACTGGTCCATGGGGGTTCCCTCCCCAGATGCAGGACCCTCCACTTGCCCTTGTTGAACCTCATCAGGCTCCTCCCTGCCCGGCTCTCCAGCCTGCCCAGCCCTCGCTGAACGCCAGCCCAGCCCTCTGGCGCGTCAGCCGCTCCTCCCAGTTCGTGTCACCCGCAAACTGGCCGCGGGTGCACTCCATCCCCTACACACCCGTTTTGCCTTCGCTGCACCGCACGGCCCAGGAGCCGGGCTGAGGAATCCTGCACTCGCTTCCCTCGCCCACCAGGGCTGCTCCGAAGGACTCCCCGACACCGGGACAGGAGGGGAACGGAACAGGGGAGCAACTTACTGCCAGGATCTCCTTGCTGGCTCCCCGCAGAACGATGGTGCAAGCCTTGGGGTCTTTGCAGTCAGTGATGAAGGCAAAATACTCGTCTCCTATTTTTTTCACCTCAAAGAGCCTGGCTCCCGTGCCCACGTCCTCCTCCCGCAGCTCATCCGTGCGACTCACGATGCGGGCGCCGCAGGCCCTAGCACACAAACGGGACGGGTCAGCCGCCGGCAAGCACGAAGAGGGGAGAAAGGGCGAGAGGAGACTGGAAACTGGGGGGCCCAGGCGGCACGGAGGGGCCCCAGCCAGGAGACGGCGCGTACCTGGCGATCCTGTTGTTGTCCGTCTTCCTCACCCTGCGGATGGCGGTGATGTTGGCTCTCATCAGGTAGTGCTGGGCCAAGTCTGAAATCAGGTTTGGGCAATTTTATCAAGGAATCTGCGGTATCCCGACAAACTTGGTGCCTCTACTTTAAAGTACAAAGGGTTATGGAAAGAAAAACCTAAACGTAGCTCCTGAAACCAAGGCTACGTTACCGCGCAGCCTCCCACGGTTTGCCAGACCTCGCTTGTACTTTGGTATCGTTTCCAAACACTGGAAAAGCAAAATACTATTATATTATTAAGTGTCCATGTCCACAAGGCAACCTCAAGAACCAGCTTCGACGCCTGCCACGTAGAACCATTTGCTAGGAAGGTAAAAAACCCAAACAAAACCAGGGTCATGTTCAAAATCGGGTTGGTGGGGGGGTTTGGGTGGGTTTTGGTTTGGTTCTTCCGTCTGGTGGTTTTTTGTTTTGGTTTGTTTTTTAAGCCACTGACCGGTGCATTTAACCCAGCGTGAACCTCGGTAAGATGAATCCAACCCAAAGAAGGATCCCATGTGTTATTACCAGAAATTCCTTTTTCAGTGATGACCAGATCCGGCTTGACTCTCATCAGATCCTCGCAGATCTGCTGGATGTACTCTTCCTCCATCTGCAGGATGCGGGCAAAGTCTTCCTCCCGCGTTATTTCAATATCAGTCTGAAGAGAAAGGGGGTAAAGGTCTCACTGGATTCCTCCCAGCCCTTCCCCGAGTTAGACACAGATTCCCTGGCTTGAGTGATCCCAACTCCTCCAACATTGCCTGGGGAAGAGCCATGGAGAACCTCACAACAGCATCAACAGTATCTCCAGCAGGACTTTACCTGGCTCTCTCCTTTCTTGTACTCCAACGAGCAGTCCAGGAGGACGATGCGCGGGTTCTTAATCAGGCGACGCATCCTGGGATGAGTCACGTCTTTATTCACCATGATTCCGCGCAAAACACACGAGTCTTCGCTAAAACCACCTGGAATCTGACATCAAAGACACAAGGAAGGGAGAAAATGAGGCAAGTCAGTCCCCTCTACCCAACCCTCTGCGCTCCTGAAACTCTCCACCCCGGGTCCCGAAAGAGGGAGACTCCCAAGTAACCGCGATGCAGCCAGGTCCCGATCGGAGTTAATTTAAGAGCAGGATGACTTAAGGCAAGTGAAAACCCACGGAAACTGCTTCAGAAACCGCTCCCGTCCCACTGCCTGGCAGCACGTGTTTGGAGAAAGGGGCACACCCGCAAGAACCGGGTCAGGACACTCTCACCTTTTCTACTTTGGCGTATTTTTTAATATCGATTTCCTTTCGGCCGTTTTCTTCAAACTCCACCGTCTTCACGGCGTCCAGAGCGATGCTACAGGCCAAGTCAGACCAGCGGTTGATGGCCTTGGTGTTTATCGCGCTCTTTATTATTTTAAGCATCATCTCTTTGTTGTTCACGTCCACTGGAGTGCTGGGACAAAAGAAAGACCACACAGTGCACCGAGTATTACTCCGAGCTACAATCTCCTCCCTGGGTCCCTCTGTGGTTACATTCCCTTGTAGTTTACTGCTGCAATGCCCCGAGGACTGATCTTGAAGCAGTACAGCAGCCCCAACCCCCTTCTCTCCAGCTCCCCCCAGCCCACACGTACCCAATTTTCTTCAGAATACTGATCATGTCATCCAGAGCCTTGCGATAAGCCCCGATGATCACAGTCGGGTGCATCTGCTGTTCGAGGAAGTGTTCAGCCACCGACAGCATCTCTCCGGCTAAAAAAAAAAAAACCCAGCAAAACCCAAAAGCAAACATCAAAATGTCCCAGATGATGGGAACAATCAACAGTCCAGGAGAACAGCGTGCCAGCAACAAGCATCTGCTACCCCGTGCGGAGAGCTCTAAGGTCATCTCGACCTTTGTTTATAGTTAACTCGGGGAAAGAACGCAGCTTTGGAGCCGGTCACTAAGGGTCCAACGAACCCGGCGTTCTCTTCCATGGTAAAATTACAAAAGGATCCATTTTAGGGTTGGTAACTAATGAGTGTCTGTCTCATTAAGGCACAATTACTGGGCTCTGATGAGCCAAAGTGCCAATTTCAGCCCCAACCCCTTATAAGCAGCGTGTCTCATTCCCTCTCCTTACCCAGGATAATGACCGACGTGGTCCCATCGCCCACCTCTTCGTCCTGCGTGCGGCTGATCTCGATCATGGACTTCGCAGCCGGGTGCTGGACTTGAATCTGCTCAGGAGAAGGGGGAGGTTTTGTTCCAGAACACTAAAGCCAAAACCCACGTCGCTCAACGGCACCACCCCGGCGCCTTCCGAACGGCCAAACTCTGCCCAGCTACGGCAAAGGTTTCTCTTCCTTTCTGAGACCAACAGGAAGCCCTTGGGTTTCACCGTGTCGTGTCTCCCACCGGTTTTCAGGCACAATGACTTTTGTGATGGTGTTGCACCAGAAAGACAACCACCATTTCTGGGTCTCATTTTTTGGCATCGTAAAAGCAGCTCCAAGGCTTTGATGCGGGCGCCTACAGCTACCGTTACCACAGAATTTACACCAGTCTTGGAAAACCTCCAGGAAAACTGACCACCCTGGGATCAAACCTGCTTTTCTGAGGAGAAAAACAAACCCTAAAATCAAACATCAAAATTCCCCAGATGACGGAACAATCAACAGGCCCGGAGAACAGCGTGCCAGCACGCTGTTTCTGAGGAGGAAAAGCATTTTCTGGAGTTATTTAACTCAACCCCAGTAAGCCCCGCGCTCGGCACTGCTGGTCAGCACTGGCTGGCTCTCAAGACAAACGCTGACGGACCACAGCCCCGCTGGCAGCTGCGTTACCGTATTCTGGAAGATTCCGACCCACACGTTACGCAGGACAGTCCTCTAGGAGGAACTTACTTCTCTAAGAATAGCGTTGCCATCGTTGGTCATCACAATCCCACCCATGGGGTCCAAAAGCATCTGCAACCGGAAGAGAAGCGGCGTTTGCACTGACCCCCACCACGTGCGGCGGCTCTAGGACGTGGCGTGGGTGGTTCAGGAGAAATTCTTACCTTCATCATAGCTCGTGGTCCTAAACACGTTCGGATAATGTCAGCAATAGTCTGGGAGGAACAAAAGAAATGAGGAGAACAGGAGGGTGTCAACAAGTCTAAAAAAAAAAACCCCATAATCTATACGGAACAAGCAGCCCCTGCAGAACTGGCAGCGTCGGGTTAATGGTGGGACTTAGGCTCTTGAAGGTCTTTTCCAACCGAAATGATGCTGTGATTTAAGTGACCCAAGGCCTCTGGAGTTGCCTCAAGTTCAGGATTGTGTGGGAATGAGAACACAGGGGGTGCACTGGCACCACAAGGCATCGTCATCGAAATCAGATCTCAAAACTCGGACGCGTTCAGGTTTTGCAGAGAAAGAGGTTCGGGGGAGTTAAACCCCTCCTTCTTGGGTTACGTTGCCCCTATTGTCAAGGAAAATTCATTTTCTATGCTGCTTCTACTCTGGATTCATACAGACTAGCAAAAACATGCTTCAGATCCAGTTTTCCCTCCTAAATATACAAGTATACAGGTACGTATATGCACACACACCTACTACGAGAACAAAGAAGGAAACCAGCCTGACGTGAGAACACGGTACCTTAGCAGCAGTGATGTTCCCAGTCTGGACTTTTCTTCCAGACTCACGTTTCATATTCTGACCTAAAGCACAGAAGAAAAAAAAAATAAAAATATATATAAAAATATAACTTTATTCTGAACTTACTAAGAAGCCCAAGCCTGAAACAGCGACGCTGACAGTGCATCAGAGACCCTCGGTCACACCCACTTGACATGCCCAGGTCTAAATTAAGAGTTTAAACACGGCAGCCACTGTGCAAAGCGTATTCATAGGGGAGGGTCAGTGAAACCCAACATTCCTTATTCTAACAGAACTCCTGATTAACACCATCATTCAACTCTGCAACCCTGACATATAACCTATTCCCCCAAGAAAAATCAAAGAGCGGTGACTCGCTAGAGCCTGCACAAAGCCCAGCAACTGCTGCACAGGAGCTTTCAGCCAAAACTCCAAAGTCACAGATGTTCACACGCTGGTTTCAAGTTTTACACGCTCGCGTTGCTCGGCCTCTGGCACGTTCGGGTGAGCTGCCACGGCCGTACCACAGGCTCACAACCATATTTGGGGACGGGCTGTCAAAAGGGTCTGCCCTAAAGCTTGGTGCTGCTTTGCTTTTGATTACAAATCTAGACTGAATGAGCTCAGACCTACTTCAGGAGCGGCTGTTTAGGAATATACATTTATAAAACAGAAGAGAGGAAGCAACAGTAAAAGCAGCTCCCAGGATAAGGTGAGCAGGGCCACAGCGAGGAGGCCCTGGGCTACAACAGCATCCCTTGGGCTAACTGTGAGCAGAGGAGGTGGAGAGGCGAGAACGAGAAACCCAAGGAGAAATAAACCCCCCCAGGAAAGGAGTCTCCTATCGGAGGGTGGCGGGAGACTCACAAAGCACATGGGGCTCCAACGGGACAGCGCAAAGCAACGTGCTCAGAAACACCCGGGGAGGAACACAGCGGAGGGACACCGAGACCTGCCAGCAAAGGCTTAACGAGGAGCGGGGGCTCCGGTGCCCCGAGACCCCCCGCGCAGGGAGCAGCGTGGGGCTGGGGGGGACACGGGCCCGGCCCACCACGACCGGGCAGTTGCCTGTGGGGCCGGGGGGGAGCTCAGGGCGTAC